TGACCAACGCGTGACCATGGTAAGATAAGGTCATCCCCGCCTGTACTTTTAAAAAAACTGGCTGAATTTTCGCTTCCGAAGTCAGTTTGAAATCAAAATTCTAATAGTGCGGGGCCACAGTGACATAAACACAGCATATTTGATATGAATCCTTGGAAAAAATAAACTTGAGCCTGCGATCATTTCAAACTGGTAATTTGTCAGCGGATAACTTCAAAAAAATACTCGACCTCGATGGGTCGACACTTGAGCCCGCGCTACGGTCAGGTGATACTGGTCAGCGGATGCCCTGTTTTGACAGCTGTCAATTGATCACAACATTGATGTGAAATTAGTTTTCTCTTGGGCTCCCAAACTAGCTAAAATGTGAGAGTAAACATTGGTTTTCCTGTGGTGCGGACGGACGGTCGGTCGGCGGTCGGCGGTCGGCGGTCGGTGTACGGTCACGTGATTACCAAATTTTCTGGGATGGGTAGATTTACTTAGCAATGGGGCTCCGCCCACGCGCGCGCTTCGCGCGCGTGGAGCTCCGCTATTATAATTACCTTAAATTTTGCTCTTATTAACCGATCGAGCGGGAGGTCTGTATGGGAGAATCTTGACTGAGGTCGCCAGTACAGACCAAACGCTGTGAGGTCTGTACCAGCGACCGAGGTCAAGATTCTCCCAAACAGACCGACCTAGCTCGGTTAATAAGATGTTTATTATATGGCCAAACAAGAAAGCAAAGGAACAAAAACATAAATAATTTTATTTGCTTCTCGGCGCGGGCTCAAGTATTTAGCTGGCTTTCTTCTGTCACTGGTCTCCAGTCCAAACGGGACAAAAATAACTGTTCAAAGTCCAGCTTTGTACAAACTTTGCAGAAACAAGCCAATTTTTTTCATATTCTTTGTTTGTAACTTTTTGAGGATAACTGTTACAACAAGGTCGGTCTAGATGCCCGTCTAGATGGGAAAATCTAGACCGCGGTCAAGATCGATTTTAGCCAATCAAATTCTTGAATTTGTTTGTTTCCAGTCCCTTTGAGACATGGCCATATATAAAGGGTGACGCTCCTGAGGGTGAAAATAAACGAGCTCGTGTGCCAGCAATTTAGATTCCCTCCATTTTATGGCAAGGTTTTTAAACCTTTAAAAAACTAAGATTCTTTTTCTCTGTTTGCATTGTGTTAAAATTATGACCCAGTTCAAAGGTCGCACTTTTATATGCTCAATCTATTGCTAATGTGGTTGACAATTTCACATAAGTGAGCTGACAAGGCTCACAGAAGCCTGACGAACGTTGACAGCTTTTTTTGCAGTGGAGTTCAAACTAGCATAGGCATCCCAAACTCACATTTTACATGGAAATCAGACGGGATCAGGAATGGAGTTTCTGGGGTTAAAGTGACTAAAACAACAATTGTAATCAGCACGTTTTGTGTATTCCTGGTATATGATTAAAACGTTCTTCTCTAGGACAAAAGCTAATAAAAATGTTAAAACGTAATTCCTCTCTAAATTTTCTGTTCCTATTATATGTAGCAAGTAAGTCATAACTGAATATCACGCTAATATAGGAAAAGCATAGAGAACTAAGTATTACTATTCAAAATACTTTGTAGCACATTAAAAGTACTTCTCCATGTTGGGTAACCATTCACGTCCACTCGCAGATTTGAATCCCTTTCACCTGCATGCAGATGTTATAAAACAGCTGACTTTTGCAAAACGCAAAAAGTAATACCGGGACCGAAAGAGCTTTGGGTGCAATGATGTAAACATTGCATTAAGCCAAATGAAGCTGCAGTAAATAAGACTAGTACGACTATCTAATATACTTATTTTAAGATTTACTGTAGCTCTGCCATTGATTTTCCCGTGTGATTAATACTATTATAAAACAAGATTAATAGATTGACTCCCTCGGGTAAGGAATATAGCCCGGTGGCTTCTCTTGGGCTTCCTCGCCATGAGAGTTAAAGTAATTAGATTTTATTTGATTTGTATAATTTTTGGCAAACAAAACAATAAACAAATAAACAAAAGACTGAGGATGCTAAGCAGATCGATAAAAAGAGGGAGCAAGATACGTATCGACTACGGAATGTTACGCATTTGGCCAGCGTAGAGGTTCAGCATCTGACCTTCTAGAAAATTAGCGCGCCAGCGAAGTTCGCAACTTGGCGCTGGCATCATGAACACTTTTCGAGCATTTGTTTTCTGTTAAATTTTTAAAATGCAAAACTCGAGTTCCTTTAATATTCCCATATTTCTGTGGGTCACGGTATTGCCTATTGCGCTCTGCTGATGTCATCCTTTTTGTATTAGCTGTATGCAACATATACCCCGCTGGTTAATACGTTGGACATGCCTAATTAAAGAAGTATATCTTACATAGCATGCACAACGACAATCATATTTGACTAAGTTCTGTAAGCTCCAAACGTTTGTCTTTTGTTTTAAACAGCTTGTTATCACCTATCTATTTCATCGTCTAAATTCGCAATTAATGCACACCTGGTGTGTAAAAGAGCGGCCTTGGATTTTCGAGGAGTAGGTGGCTTAGAATAGTTTTCTGAACGGGTTTTCTAGCTAGTAGTACTTGTTACTTTAACTTGATTTAATTTGATTTTATGCATCATTTACAACAGCAAAAACTTTTGAAGTCATTTTTATCAGTCCTCAAAAAAACTCTAAAACTCGTTTATGGCATTGCTTAGCTGAAGGACGCTTCTCTGGCATCGCCTCCCAACACTCCTTCATGAGCTCTTGCCAGCAAGGAGGAGGATCCAGGTGGTCTTCTAAGAGTTCTGGACGACACCCGCTGTCCACCATACTAAAGAAAGCTTCTAGTGATACTGATTCAGTTTTGGCGAACGCTCGATCTCCGTACCAGATCTCCCACAACATTACACCAAGACTGTAGATGTCTGCCTTGCTGTCATACACCTTAGACTGGAACACTTCTGGTGCAATGTAGGCAGGGCTTCCAGCGATGGTACCAGTAATGTCTACTGCTGCTTTAGATATGCCAACATCTGTAACTTTCACTGAGTTTTCCTCTGACAGCTTCAAAGGAAACAGAAACCAAATTTAGAGTAGGATTTCTTTATTCAAATCCACTGTAGGACATGGTGTAAAATCATTTTTTAAGAGAATAGAAAAAAACATAAATTAAAAAATTACCAACATTTTAACGCTTGCCATATTACGACGTCAAGACAAAAATATGCTAAACATACATAAATATATGCACTAAAAAAAGTAACAATACAAACGTGTAAAACGTTAACAAAGAGGTTCGCTTAACTTTTTTTTTCCTGATTTTTTGTTAAAGTTTCGTGTTGCCAGTTATAGTTTGTATAAATATTTAGCATATTATGTATTGTTAAAATATTCCTATTTTGACTTATCGATAATGAAATTTAGCAGCCGTAACTTCTTTTTTGATCTTCTAAATGTACACTTATTTTTTTTCCTGACTCATTTATTGCGGAATCACTATTCACATTTTGGCCTGTTAAGCAATTCAAAGAACGAAGATAAAGCACCACTTTGGATCTTACCAAGACGTTTTCCAGCTTTAGGTCTCTGTGAACAATCCCTTGTCCATGAATGTATGCCAGGGCATCAGTGATCTCTTTGACCCACTGACGGACATTTTGGATGGCATCAGTTCTTTTTGATTTCCCAGGAATTGACTGACGGTTTTTAAAGATGTGGTCCTGTAGGTTTCCTTTGCACCATTCTAAAACCAGAATGATTCTCACAGAACCCTGATCCGGCAGCAGTGAAGTGCCATAAAACTTAACAATGTGAGGGTGGTTCAGCTTTCTAAAAGTGAAGAGAGTAAAAGTATAGTCTCTGAAGTGGCTTTATTTAACCTCTCCTCCGGGGAATAAAGATCCAATTCAGGCCACAGATTAGTTCCATTTTCAGAAGGTTTAATACGTTTTCATTAAGAGTCACAACAAAAAAATTTACTTAATTAATTTATATATTTACTAAGTTGATTTGACTCTCTCAAACAAAGACTCAAAAGTTTCCATCAGTTAAGCATTAATCATAAAAGCAAGATGGTAAAACTTTTGACGCTTGAACAGAAAATGTGCCCCGCAGTGTCGCTCTCCTAAAGACGCCACCAATTAACTTATATTTTCTTGGGTGTGTGGCTGATTTAAACTAAGACAAAGCGTCTTTAACTTTGACTCACACGTTGCCATTCTCCACGATACAAGCAATTCTCATCTTATCTCATCTCACTTCATTTTGTCTCCCTAACACGACGTTTATCTTATGTCTCATGCGTTAAATACACTGCTCAATTGTCCGCCAGTTATCGGCAACTAAGAATAAACGCACAGAATCACTGAGACATTTTCTCACCTTAAAATTTGCACTTCAGCCATAAAAAGGCTTGCATTTGTAGCATCGAGCACGTCATTGTACAGCTTCAGGGCCACGATATAGGAGTCTTGATCTCTTTTCATCTCTCCTTGGTACACAGCTCCAAATGCACCGCGGCCGAGACAAGAAGAAGCCTCCTGTTTCCAGTTCAGATTATCAGCAGCGATATCAGTGGCTCGAACTTCTTTGAACCCAAATTCTGCCAGGGTCCCTCTGATAAGAGAACCTTCGTCCATTATTGGCTGGTAGCGATCTTTTATGTCTTTCTGAGAGCGTCTTTCCTCGAGAAGTTGTTTGCATAGCATCTTGTCTGCCTCTATCAATTCAGGTAGACGGGCTTCAATCTGCTTGAGGCAGACTTTTGCTTCTTTCATTTGTTCTTTTACGAAAGGTTTCAGCAATTCTTTATCTTTAAGGTCTTCAAGATACACTGCCGACGCTTCTCTCATGAAGGCACACTTGTCCTCTTCGTAATTCTTTATTTTCTTTCTTTCCTCCAACTTGCTTTTAACAACCATGATACCATAAATAGGAACGCCAATCACCAAAGCAACTAAACCTAGTGGAACCCAGATTGGACTTGTGACGCCGAAGATAACTTTTTCAGTCAAGGAGAAATTTGTTTCTAGTGAAAGCTGGACTTTAAAACTAATGCTGTCAGCAGTGATGGCGCTCTCAAGGTTCCGCAACTGTCCTTCGACAAAATTGTAGCGTGTCTGAAAGTGTTCCACAAGGGAAGCACGAGCATTTGTAAACACTTTGTTATCTTCTTCCCACTGCTCTATGAATTCTCGGAGCCGTCTTGATAGCGCTTTTGTGATCTCGTTTTTTGTTACTTCCCAGGAGTCTTCTGATCTTGGTACTTCGTCTAATGTCCATGAGATAAAGCGGACTTTAACTTCTTCCGACGAGAGGTACTCGGATAGGTTCTGCAAAGCGACTTTTGTACGTGTCTTCAGGTGCTGATGAAGGTCAGCAACGACTTCACTTTGTTGTTCTTCAATCGCTTCTAGACGGTTAACAATCTCCCCCATCTCCCGGATAACTTTGTCGCGATCTCTGGAGGCATTCATTACGAAGGCTCTTGCCTGATAGATTATTCGCGAAAGAAGGTAATCCAACCATCTAAATGAGAGAACAAAAAATAAAACAACAATAATTTTCATTTGATAGCCTCACAGACTAAACAATCCATCGTAATTTACATGAGTTCGCCTTTTTTTGAGATGAACACTGTGGGGCCGAATAAGCTCATCAAAGCGTGACAATTTGGGTTAATTCTTACCAAATATTTTTGGCTTTAGCTCTTTCATTACCAAACTTAGCGTGAAAATATAAACCATAAGGCAAATCAAATTGGCTTATTGGATAACACCAATTATTATTCATTCAAAATATTTCCCCAATTCTGATTAGCTAAAAGCACGCGCAAAATTCACCATAACTAGTTACTGATGACCAAATTTGGAAGAATTTTGCGTTTAACGCGAAAATGACGTCAAAAATGCAGCCCGCTACAGGGTAATGCACCATTAACCGAGAAGACCTGGGGACGAGGTTGAGTTGTTTTGGTTGTGAAAAAAAATTGAGGACATTTCACTCGTTTAAAGAGTAAGAACTACAGCTAGAACAAGGCGAAATAATAGCTAAAAACATGGCAAAACAGCAAGAAGACAACTCGGAGGGCGACATCTGCTATTTGGAGAATATTTGCGGAGCTGTACAAACCTAAACGTACACTATCGAAGATGAACTTAACATCGATGCAGGTAAACATGTTTTAGCTATATTTTTAAACTAGGAATTATTTTGAATTTGACATTTAGCAATTAATGAATTCGGCTTTCGTAGGATATGAAGAATTAAGCAGATCTCGGAGGGTGTTATCCACCTCGGTCTTCGGCCACCCTCACCCTCCTCGATCTGCTTAATTTTTCATATCCTACTCAGCCTGATTCATTAATTGCTATTTGTCAAATTATGACGTCACATACTCTGACGTCATTCATTCGTTAATTCTTAAACTTTTGAATCTTTCAATTCTTATATTATTTTTGAGAGAAAAATTCAAGGGAAGTTGGGAGCTGAATATTTTTCCAATATCTCGAATAAATATAAACTGAGATATGACGTTAAGAATTTGAATAATTTCGTAAAAGAAAAACAGAGTACCCCTTCTAAAATGTCTAAATTTACCGTAAATGATCGATTAAGCTCCGCCACTCGAATAAGGGCCGCTCTCGAATTAGCGCCGCACCTTTACCGAAAATAATTTAATAAGCGCCGTTCTCTAATAAGCACCGCGGCGCTAATTTGAGTATTTACAAATGAATGCCCCATTTTTGTTACGGCGCTTGATATAACGAGAAATTACCTGGTTAACAATCTTAGTCTATATGACTACGATGCCCCTGATAAAATCAGTGGGGACGGTCAATCGGCAGTCGACCGCGACACCTCGAAATTTGTGGCTTTGTAACAGAACAACAAGATTAGGAGGCGTTCTGACCAACGCGATAAGTATATCAGAGAAAATACACTGATGCTTACTTCCAATGAATTTCCAGCCTGGCTTCAATACTCTTCAACACCATGAGCCTCAAGCCATTCATCAAATTGGAAAATTCATTTGTAATGTAGCCGTGGCCCTGAGCTTTACTGGCTTTCGTTGTTGACATATGTGTGATCTGTGATTCAGGTTCAACGCCAGGCCAGCATCTTGGAAGTTTTTTGACGACATGATTCTTCACCTCGTTTACTTCTTTCCCTGGGACTTGGTCCCACTTGTTACACACAAACAAAGCGCACTTGGACGGCAATTCGCCCTGTCTTTCAAGAGAGATGTTTCTGACTTCCTCTAATAATTTCTCAAGCTGCAATTGCAAGAGCAACAATGACACATTAATTTCCTTACGGCCACTAAAAATTAACTGTTAAATTTTACTGAGCTTCGCTTTTGGAACAACAATTTCACTCACAAATCTTTGCAGTTATGACGGAGATTGGATGAAAAATGTGGCAATATGAATTTAGAGTAGGAAAAAAGACTTTTGTTGAAGCTCCAGACCTGAAAGTCGTAAGGAGATAGTTATTGAAAGTGTTACGGGTAGAGAAGCTTATCTGGCTTATCTAGAGATGAGATGCAAATTATTTTTCAGTAAATTATCTTGAAATAAATTTTAACTACAGTAAAAGGTTTCGCTTTGTCGCCACGCAACGCTCCTCACTAGACAAAGACTGCTTAGGAGACTATATCATTTGAAAATTCTCCTTCCAATAATAATAAATAATGAAATAACTTTTTAGTACGTTAGAGGTATACTAATATAACTACTATTCACCTTAGTGTCTGAAGAGCAAGTGTCCATCTTTACTATACTATATGCCATATTTAACGCGGAAAATTATTTGGCGAATATTGGGCCATACGTACCCTGTCCTTCTGAACCCCGCCTGCATTTGCACTGTTGATCACATAAATGAAAGCAAACGCTTGGGGAAGGTACCGTGTGACTATCTCGTCCATAATATCAGACTCGCCAATTCCAGGACTGTCAATTATCACAATTCCTTTCTAAAATACACAAACGACAACGTAAACAACTTTTTTTAGGCTAATGTTTTTGGGTGATAAAAATGTACTCAACTTTTAGCAACGCGCGCCAGATCCTGTGGAAAATGTGGGGTTTACAAAGTAGCGTATGGGCGAATTCTCGAATTAACTCAGAACCCGGCCCCATGAAGCATTGCATTATGCTCCATCTGTTTTGGGGGGATCGAGGAATGAGCCACATCTTTAGTCATGCGCATTCGCTGCCCTTCAAAATAGGGGGGCTGGACACTTAGCTTGTGCAAACTGTTGTGGTCGCTTTAAAACCCCAGTTCTAAACGTTTTTCGAATTGATCTCAAAAACGATTTTTCAGGAACTTCAAGCAACTTCAGCGCAAGAATTCTATCTGGCAGTATAGTCCGAACAGTATTGTAGGTGAGATTTGCTGTCAAGACCGTTTTCCATAGAGTTTTGCAGTATTTTGGGATGGTGAAAGATGAAAAAAGCAGTCATACGAAAAAAAAAAAAAAATGTTGATTACGATTACTGAGTCGATTTAATTAATCAGAACTCACTTTTCTGTAAATTAAGCATGTTATGGGAAATTCTTTCTTTTTCTCAAATGATGGATTTATTTTTCACCAGATTGAGATTAAAAAGGGTATAAATAAACTTCAGGGCTCAGTTGTTTGAAGGCCGATTAGCGCTTAACCCAGGGTTAAATTTAACCCGGGTTTCTTTTTCTTTAATTTGTACGTTCAAAAGAATTTTCTCGGATAATTATCTCTGTTATTTTAAAGAGCATCCAATCATCAACTTGTTGACAAAAAGAATTAAACTGAATTTACTTTTTAAGCTTTCATATCTGAATTCAAATTTCAAACTAACCCTGAGTTATTTTAACCCAGCTTTGAACAACCCGGCCCAGATTACAACTTAACAACCTGTAGTTATTTTTTTACTTGTTTTGTTTATTTATTTGCAGAGGTGTACTTAGCAAATATATATCAAAGTATATTGTAGAAATACTTAAATGGGCGACGAAGTTTCCGTCCAAGTTAAACTAACCAAAACCAATGCCCATGAACATAAAAACGCGAAAACCAACTGGCCAACTCCTTGACCCAAATTATAAATGAAGACGAATCTAAAATAGTAACAAAATTAAGGTGCAAGGATTGAAATATCATCGATTTACCTCCAAGAGACTGTGAGGCCAAAAGAGTTCGATTTTTTTGAAAACTGATCCCCTTTCTCGATCAGTCTTCACATGGACGTAAGGAGAAATTTGCTGAAGATAGCCCTGTTCTGTTAATTCCTTTAACAGGATAATCTTTTCTGGCCGATCCTGGTCTTTAAAATGAGCCACGATTTTGCGTTCCTTTCCGAACTTGAGCTCGCATATGGTAGACGTTGTACTTAAAACAGAATATGGAAGAAGCTCCTCGCCGAGAATAAGATTTATTAAGCTGCTTTTCCCAGATCCCGTCTCTCCTGCAAAGGTGTAAAGTTACAGTATTAAAAGCTATCATATTTGCTCTATATAAACTCAACTCTAGGACGTAGACGCAAAGTTATATCCCCCCAGTGGAACAAGGACTACAAGAGGGTGCTTGATGGAACCCCTTCCCTAGAGTTTTTGATATGTTGCAGTAATTCGAATAGATTTTACCTTCAGAGGAAAGCCTTTGATCTTCTTCAAGGATGAGGTTTATTTTATGGGTGGTGAAGGCCTGTGACGCATGGTCGCCATCTTGGCCGCCACCTTGGATTTTACCAATAATTAGAAATCGGGTAAAAAAGGCGAGAATTGGTAACTTTTATGCTTGACATGTAAAATAACACATAAATAAGTACTTTGCTCTATTTTATCCACGAGCTTTACTTAAAAAAAGTGTATTTTAACTAAAAATTGCCTTGACCACCTGCTACTTATGACGTCATAACTTGTAACCATGGAAACTGATGTCACTAAATTTGTCTCAAAATGTGCGTGCGAGGGATAAACAAACGGCTAATTAGCCAGGGCTAAAAGCGAAGCTCCTATATATTAACTCGAATTTATAAATTAAATGAAACAATGAACTTGTTTTCCACAATTCAGTTAACTTTAGAGCACATTCATGTGACTTTTGAGGGAAAGTTTTTATTATACAGACCTCGGACAGAATGCAGTACTTCACAATTTTGCACTCACTCAATATTCAGGACGATCGAAGCACGTGTGGGCTTTTAGCGAAACCGTTAAAAAAAATTTCCAAAATCACCGATACTGCTAGCCGGTTCTCACTTTTGACAAGCGCCAAGCGCGGTGAAACATACAGAGACAACAATTTTCATTCACGAAGACACAAGTATTAAGGTGTCTCTGAAAATCCTTGTTTATGTTTTTCATTTTGTAAGCCGGCTTCCCGGTGTGTTCTTTTTCAAAGATGAACTCGAGGCAAGAAATTCGCTCAAAGCTTTCTTTTACAGCCAGAATTATAACTAAATATTCTTTGGAACGTTTTCTTTCTATTTGCGGTGCGAAAATGTCTAAAGGCTTTTTAAAGTTCTATAAACTTATAATCAAACTTGACACTCGGTCAGATCATTGTCTCAAATCTTACAATTAAAAACGTGCATAAACTAAATAGCCGCATAAACTACGCTCGACTTCATTAAATTAGATATAAAAAACAAACGTCAAATACAATAATTACTCAGGCTTACCATTCGAGATGCACTGAAGACTATTAAGTAAGGCCAGAATCGCTTCAGCCTTTTCAACCCTCTTACGCACCAAGCAAGGTGAAAAACGAAAACGATGCCGTCCGAAATCGGATTTCCGACGTTGACAAGCGACGTATTTCTCAACCAAAAACCCAGTAAAAAAACTAGCCAGAATAACAGAAGACTCTTGATAGCAGCTGAATTTCATTTTGTACATCCAGTGGAAAAAGACAGTTAAAAACATCACAAACTGACACAAAACTCTGTCAGCTTCAGCAAAGTAAACAAGTTTCAAGATGCTGCATAAATTTTCCGCATGAACTCACCTGTCACATTTTGACCAATCAGAGCATAAAAATTGGACGTAGAGCGTGACCAACGCGTGACCTTGGTGAGAAAAGTCAAAAGCAACTGGCATGTCTTCCCTGCCTGTAAAAACTGGCTGAATTTTAGCTTCCGAGGTCAGTTTGAAATCAACATTTTAATTGTGCGGCACATACAAAACACAACATATTTCATATGAATTGAAAAAAAACTTGAGCCTGCGATCATTTGAAAACTAGTAACTTATCAGCGGATAACTTCAAAAAGATATTCGACCTCGATGGGTCGACACCTGAGCCCGCGAGACGGTCAGGTGATACTGGTCAGCGGATACCCTGTTTTGACAGCTGTCAACTTATCACAACATTGATGTGTAATACAACACCGCGGCAAAACGCACTGCGCATGAGCACAAAATTTAACATCCGGTCAGCTTTTTATTTCCGGTCTAGTATATAAACCAATTGCGTAAGCATAACTTTGCCGTCGCACCAAGTTTAAAAGCAAAAAGGGAGGAACAGACAAAAAAAGGGGGGGGGGGAATAAAAATCACTTCATTCGATAGCTTATATATTTTTCTAGTGTCAAACTTTTGCACCACATGGTTATCTGGTTGCACCAACGGTGAAAATGATGTTTGAAGTTTGAACGTCGCTAGCGCTCGACATGACGAATTTGTTTTTAATGCCTTTCTTGCATGCTACTGGTTTGGCATAAGTTAATTTCGTGGAGAAGGCGATAACTAAGAAAAGAATATCAATACTTATGAAAGAAACCAAAAAAAAGACGTCATTATTATCATTAACACTAGAACCAGGAAAAAAAAGTTTAGCCCGTTCAATAATGTTATTATCAGAGAAAACAAGAACTCAAAACAAAAGATAGGCTGGATTTAATAACAACTTCGACTTTGATGACTACAGCCACGAACACCCGGAGCTTTCAGTGCCGGGAAACTAAACATGCCTATAAATGATTTTCATTCAACAAAATGCCTATTTAATTCTTTTACATGGTTGTTCTTTGGTTGAAGACTTCAGTAATTTCAGACTGTGCGGCTCGGCTGCATCTCTTGCAAACACGAAACTTCCAGCTGCTAAATACATGGCATGAAAATTTCAACTTCTAAAAGCCATCGAACCAGCTTTCGCTCTCTGATTCTGAGAATGAAAAAAAATATTTAGAGTTGTCAACTTGCTGGCAACCTCAACAGTATAATTAAGCTTATGTTTCATGGCAATCAACTCTGAAGAGTTTCGTTTCAAACTACACGGTAAAACTCACTGGTAAATAAAACTACAAAGCGATTGTGTGTTGTCGTTTTTCAAATAAAGCTCGAATCGGCTTTAAGACATGAAGACTGAGAAATTGAAGAACTGAAAATTAGAACTACAATACACAAGCTTGCAAAAATACTTTTTATGTCTTAGTTTCAGCCACGTTAAGAGAAAAATAACAATCAAAAACTTTGTTTTCGTGAATGAAAATCAATTTACCCGGACGCTCTAGCCAAAATTAAACACTGAGTTATTATCATCTTACCTTTTCTGAATCTAATCGACTAATTGTTTCAGTGATCTGTGCCTGGTTATCCATAAAAGCAATTTCAATAAATACAAAATAGTCAAAAACACGAGCAGCATGAAGCAGAACAACTGAACCACAAGCTGCATGCACACAGAATGAATCTGAGCGCGCGCGGGAGACTTTGATTTGACTGGAAAATGTGACCAAAAAAGAGACCGGAAATGCTCAAACTGGCGCATGCGTAGACGTTTTGCCGCGGTGTTGTGCAATATATGTGTGCAATATCAGTCTTCCTGCGCTCCCAAACTGGCTAGAAAGTGTGAGGATTAAACACTGGTTTCCCTGTGGACGGGTGGACGGGTGGACGGGTGGGCCAGCCGGCGGTGTACGGTCACGTGATTACCAAATTTTCTGGGATGGGTAGATTTACTTACCGATGGTGCTCCGCAGGCGCGCTTCGCGCGCCAGAGCTCCGCTATTAAAAACGTTAGGAGCTAATGTTCAATCGTCTATAATCGCCGATAAAGTCATAGATTAAGTTTAAGTTTAAAATCCTTCTATTCTTACCTGCCTCAAAGCCGTCCTAAACCGAAATATTTTTTTTTCTCAGGGAATAAAAAGGGTTAGTTGGGGAACTAACTTACTATTTTACCCTCATTTAAAAGGGCGCTCGGCTCCTGTTAAAGTGTTTAAGGAAAGTGATTCTGACCTGCCACAAGCACAAAGTATTCCTTTCGTGTCAGTTGCAGTTTGTGATTTTCAATCTTCTCCTCTAAATTACCAACACTCTGCTGTAGCAGGGCGCGAATTTTGGAGTCCAGTTTATTAACTAATTCCTCGGCTCCAATGTAAAGACTCAGTAAAATTGTTCTTTTCTTTATATCATCTTCTTGTGCATCTGTCAAGATGGAAAACGCCTAGGGGGAAGAAGTACAAAAAAACAAAAACAAGACAAAACTGAATTATAACCAATTCATCAGTCCAGGAAAAAGTGTATCATCAAACTTAAAGTCATAGTTTATTCAATTTTCTGTTAAAGGTACTATAGACTTCTGCATAGATATAAAGGAATAACGCATTGGTAATAAAGAATGTGCCATTTGATATTTCGAGTCAGAATGAAGGGTCAAATGCAATCGGAGTAGTACGTAATTATAAACCCTAACTTCTTTGAAACTAAAACGAAATATCAGGCGTCATAGTCAAGTTTCTAGAAAGAATGATTATTTCCCCTTTTTTTTAGTTCTACGCACACTAGTGTCTGGTTCTTCGCTAAACGACGGGCAAAAGCTAAGTCCGCCACAAATATGTTAATCTGCTTGCAGAGGACGGACAGCTGAAGCAAACAGCTCGTGTACTGTCTTTCCTATATAAGCTACAATTTCGCAGTCATGTATATGATAAAGGGTAATCAGCTACACATTAACGAATAACCTATGTTCCCAATGGATGCGCCAGGAACCTAATATGTTCTTTAGATTCAGTGGACAATGAGTACGAGATCGAGCACGAGTAACAGTTTGCAAACCACTCAGTGAAACTCGTGTACCTCACATATATATCACGGGTGCGATTTATCGCTCCGACGAAATTTCAGCTAAACGCAATTTCACTTCGCTGGATGCAAAATTTCGTTAAATGAAAATGAAATTTCGTTTGACTCAACGAAAAATCGCAGGCGCTTTAGCTAAAATTCGTGGCGAACTTTCGTTGAATTTTCGCGAGAGCAAAGGACGAAATTCGGCGAATCTCGCTTTCAATACTCTTGCACAGTACTGTAATTACTTAACTATCTCGCCAATAATATTCTAACAATTACTCTTGGGGATACAAGAAGCTCCAAATTCCAAAGTCGTACTCGTAATCGATTTCGTACTCCTAGTTAATTATATGAGCAACGCAAACGAATGATGGAAAATATTTTGCTCTTGTCAAACAGTACAACACGCAAATGACAAACTGAAATTGTGAATTATTATAGCATTCTTACCTGACCTGCACTCCAACTGGGTGATTTTGAAGACTGGTGTATTGTAGATTTTACTCGATCTTTCATATCTTGCAGCGTTTGCAACCCTTTCGAAGAAATGTCAAGCGCCGCCATCGCCTCAAACATCTCCCCTATGTCGTCTATTTCATCGATGCTTTTTGTTTTTGCCGCAGCCATTTTGAATGAGATTCCGACTAAATTTGAGAAAATGGAAATTTAACAAGAAACAAGTGCTATTTGACTCCGAAAAGGCCTACTTCCCATGATTTGTATATTGTAAATAAAACCCATTGTAAGAATTGGCGTATTTGAGGTGGGGCAAAAGAAATCCGGGGGTGAAGGTAACTTACAACAATGTACAATTACAGGGGAGGGCAGTTTACTCAAAAAAAATTACGACCTTGAGGCTATCCGCAGTCTTAACAGTCCAATCAGAACATACACCTAGTTTTAGGAGAATTCAAAGGGATCATTTCCCATTGTTAATCAATTCAAAAAACGGTTGTGTCTTGGCTTCCAAGAAAACGTTAACAAAAGAATTGACAGCAAAAAAAATGACGTCTTAATCAAAACGTAAGCTACGTTGACGTTCAGCTAGCCTCCCACGCAGACTTTCTTGGGGGTTCATCACGCGTTCCTGCCTCACTAACAACTGTTGAACCGAAAGATAAATTCCTTACCCATCGCAAATATCAGCTGGAGATCACATGCAGATTATAAACGATCCAATCGAAGCTGCTGAAGTCAAAGGAGGGGGGTGAATAGGTTCGCGGATCGGCGGATTTGACCTTAAAAAGCTCACGGATTGTGGATTTCGGCGATAAATCGAGCGGATTCGCGGATTTGAAAAATACCGTGGATCGCGGGTCAGCTGAAAGTTTTGGCCCGGTTTCCGGATTCTGTCAGTCTAGAAGTTCGGATTGTGGATCGGATCATCAATTTTCGGTCGGCCTTGGTTAATGTGCTGGTGTTTTGTCGGCTAACGTTCCACTTCCGAGGTTTCCGGAAGAGACTTTCTCGTGACCCGACGCATATACATGTATTCTAGTATAGACAGCGTGACGGAAATGACGTCAGGCAACCTTTTGCATGGTTCCTGCATGGTGACACATGGTTCAGGTAATGGCGGTAATGCTAAGTGACCTGACAAGATCTGTGAATGCGTTCGTGTAAATTGTCTAAATTGCAAAGTGGAACTAGAACTATCGAGTGTGTAGCCTTTTACCACGAAGGTGCCAAAGGCGATTACTTTATTGAAAAAAATAAGTTTCGATGCTGCGTCGATTCCAGTCATTGAGGAAGTGTGATGAACACGGCTACGCGAGCACGTTCGGTAAGTTTTATATTTGGTTTATACATGAACTGATATAAATTATGCTCTTCGAAGCTATTTCAGCTAGTTTGCTTGTCTTGATCGTTAACTTAATAGACCTTTTCACGGTTTCTGTCGCCATATTGGTTGAGGGAAAACACGGCAAAATTTACAATAAATGTATGGTAAAAGTCGGGAGTTTGATGCTCTATAATTTGAGGAAAGTTGACATCTATGATTTACAAACTAAAGATACTGGTAAAACAATTGAAGGGCATCGGTTCGCTGAGAAGCGAGAAGTCTTACTTTTTGTTTTCATACAAATTCGTTTTCCCACTAACGGCAGCTCCATTTTACAGACAAATATCTTCTTGAAAATCGTCAAATTAGTTGTTTTACCGACGGGAAATCAACCTTTCTTGTTTGGAGTTTCCACTCGCTTTGGGAGACAAGTTCGAATAAACAACAGACTCATTTCGTAAAAGGTAAAGCTTCGTGCCAAGTGGCCCATACTGCCGGAGCTTATCCTGGTTTCCGTAGCATTAAGCAGCTTGGAATATTTCTACTTCCCCCTGGATGGGATGCTAGTCCATCGCAGGGTTACCCCCAGCATTATTTCGCCGGTACCCATTTATACACCTGGGTGGAGAGAGGCACTGTGAGAGTAAAGTGTCTTGCCCAAGAACACAACGCAGTGCCCCGGCCAGGGTTCGAACTCGGACTGTCCGATCCAGAGTCCAGCGCACTAACCATTAGCCCACAGCGCCTCCCACATTCATTTCGTAAGATGAGAGTTATTTTTCGTAATCACATCCGCTGGACTGTTATACTGGATTTTTGGGCCCTCACATTTAATGTTAGGATTGACAGCGACTCATGAACTATAAAAAAATCAAATTTACAAATTGATCGGTGAAATGATAAACTGGATTTTGCTCCTTATATTTAATGCTAAAATTGACGATCATTGAGTACAAAACAAACTACGAGTAAACGAAACTCTGTATTTGCACCAAAAAACAAATGCAGTTTGCCGCGGCTAACCCTTTTACCCGTCTGTTGCTAAGTGAAAAAGATTATGGTCTCAAGACTTCCAAGATTAACCATGGAAAATATTTACTGGTAAGCAAATTACCATGAAGTTGAGTTCTGCCTTTTCCGAATTTTGTGGCTCGACTAGAAGCATGTCCAAAGTGATGTCAGTAAGCAAATTTATTGAAAAATCTTTTACGCAATACCAGATACTTTCATTTTTCAAGCTTGCAGACTGTTTGATTAGTCAAATCTGTATTGTTGGAAGAAACATTATAAGCTCTGTCCTTAATGCTTAAGGTGATTCCCTAGTAAAAGAACCTAACACAGATTGTAGATGAAACTTTGGTACTCTGATGTAACAAGTCAAGAAGATGATAAAAAGGTAATAAAAAGTGGGGGTCACCGTGCTCGTTTTGACGTCACAATGCTGACAAATGTGGCTATTTTGGACCCTTTGACAAACGCCGCGCGCAGCCCAAAACTAGACAAAAAGGAAAGATTTTTTCAATGATCCATGTGGTATCGCACAGAATTTGACTTTAATGTATTGTTTATCCACTTACGTACCAGAAAAATGCCTTTTAATGCCCTTGTTTTTACTTTACGCTCCAAAGTAGAATTAAATTAGACACGCGCTATTCGACACGTGATAGCTCAA